TACCTTTTTAGGATTCACCCTCTCGGCAGGCCATTGGAAACTATTGGTTGTCATTTCCTCAATTAAGTCATAAGCCTCCTCAAATAGTTTAGACATTAGTGATTCTCCTGTAGCTGCACTTATAAGGGACTTAAGGGAACCTACGGGAACCTACAAACCTATTATAGAAGGTTTGAGCTATAAGCCAGTTGAGTAAGGCATAAATCTTTCTAGGCTTCGTAGATGGACTCTCCCTTGATTTGTGTGAAAGGTGTGATGTCATTCCTAAGTTGGACAATTTTAGATGGAGGGAAATACTTGGCTAAGAATTTCAGAGCTAAATCATTCCAAGTAGTGATGAATCCTAGGGCTAAAGAGTTCAAGCATACATTGGTTCTATCCCTTAGGGAGAATGGGAAAAGCCTAAGTCTAACGACATTATTGGTGACACCGTTGTACCTGAAAGTGGCACAAAGTTCTAAGAAGTTTGCTAAGTGTAAATTTGTAAAGTACCCCCCCCCCCCCCCCCCCCAAATTGGTTTTACTGCACCATATGGATAATGACAAGTCTTAGTTCAAATTGTTTGGCCGCTGCTGTGGGATAATTGATGCTCATGTGACTTTCCTCAGTAGTGGGGTTGGCGAGGTCCTTAAGAGGTCTCATGCCTGGGTCCAGATGGTTGGCCATTTCTAAGGTTGTTTCGGGTTCAGTGAGTGCTCTCCTACGCACCTAAAGGTTCGCATGCACTAGAAGACAAGTGGAAATATGAGACTCACAAATAAGGGATCCTAGACACAAAAAAGACACAATTGGTCGACTCTAAAGCACATAAACAAGCATGAGTTGGTTCAACACAATCACACTCAATAAGCAAGGACTTAAATAATATAAAATAAATAAAGAAGAAATAACAACAGTAATTAACCTTTTTTTGGGTTTTTGGCTTTTCATTTTTTTTTTGCTTTTTATTTTCAACAACTGCAAGAAAAACAACAACACAATACAAATTCACAAGTAGTAATGAAAAAATAAGAAATACAAAATTAAAAAGGAAACATAAAAAATGCCGAACCTAAATTTCTAGTTGTCCAACTACAATTTTCCTATATTCAGAATTTTTCTTAACGCCGCTTTCCGACAACGACACCAAAAATTTGATGGCCGAAAAAACTACGAAACGAGCGACCACTCCACGTAAGTACACGTGTCAAGTAGAAAATGATTTTTAAGAGCACCACGTATTATTCCCACAGGAAAATGAGTTAAGAATAGTTCATAATCAATGAGTCTATAGTTTACTAGCTATCTCACTTAGTTTACCGCGATAAAGAAAAACATAATAGGAAAATTCTAAATCTAGTAAAGCTGATATAAAGCAGAAGCCACAGGAAGCATGAGTTAAAATTCTTAGGTTTCTTCAAGATGGTTGAGGATTGCGCCTCTGTGTTTCAAGTATAGTGCCTAATTATATTTTTCTAGCAGTTTCTTTTACGTGATTGCTGTCAACCAGGGACGATGTTTTTTCTTATGCCTATGCCTAGGTCAGAAGAAGATTTGGAACCCCATAACCTTAAGTTTTGCTTAACTTTATGGCGTTTTCTAGTATTTCTCAGATTCATTTTTCTTGGTTACAAAATCCAAATTAAAATGTGCTTAGTCTAATAGGATTTAGCGGTTAACCCAATCGTTCCATTAAACAACGGGCAAAAATCGTATATCATGACAGGTTTTGAAGTCCTAAGTGGTCAAGTTTGGAGTGAATGGAGGCTAGAGGGTTAACCAACAACATTAAGATCAAAAACACAGAAAACGTGTTATGAAAAACTTGCAGAGAAAAATATAGTTAGAAAACTATCCATAAATCACAGAGGCACAAAAAGAAATTTAGCTACTCATATCAAGGGAGAAAATTATATGAAAATCTATAGAAAACAAGCCTGCAAGCAACATCTTTTTAAAGTAAAAATAATCACTCACTGGTTTGTGTATCTTCCCCCTTGCAAAGTAACAAACAACTCTCATACAATCTCTCAGAACAACTAAGAAATTAAAAGAGAAAGTAGAAGAAAAGGTCTGTTTGGTCTCTCTCGAGAAGAATAGTGCTCTCTCAAACCCTAGCCTCCTGTCTCTGAAAAAATCTCCAAGACCTTCCTAATTTGAGCTCCAATGCTCTTTTATAACCTTCATTCAACTTCTGTCCAAATCCAAGCGAATCAATCCAAATAAGTCATTTCCTTCAGCGGCGAGATAAGGCGACATAACCACGCCTGAAGGGCGGCATTGCCACGCTCAGGGTGATCCGTGAACACATTGAATGGGCGTGGCCACGTACATTCTCTAGCATAACCACATTACACGCCTGACGTGGCAACGCCGAAAGCAGTCCTTGTTACGCCAACCTGAAAAATTTTCTAATTATTATTTTTTTTTGCTTCGATTTGTGTGCTAATCCTCTTGGAACTTGTGAAACACACCCAATCTTCTAAAAGCATAAAATCATACCAAATAATTTGCATGAATTAAAACATGAAAAGTACAAAAAAATGGCGTATGTTAGATGAAAACCATGATGCAATCAAATTTCTTTGAGTCATGGAGGGTATATAATTCATAGAAAGCTTCGAATCTCATTCGCTTCTCTCTTGATTTCTCGGTTTCGTGCACCTATAGGGATTCGCGTGAACTTGCTACAATGCTGGTGCGACTTGCGCGATCGAGAGAGGGCTGCGTGCGGTGATTCACGACTCTGTTGCAAAATCGTTAAGAGGGACATTCACTTTCATGATATTCTGAACATTTCTTTCCTTCCCTACCTTTTCATTTCGATGTTTGCCACAAATTGAAGAACTTTTTCATTTCTGGTCACAATAGCAGGCGACAAACTAGTGTCAGAAGCTGTGAATTGGGTTTTGGCTTCTTGGTAGGGCTACTTGCAATTAAATCAGCGAAGTAAGAGGAAGAAAGGAAGGTTATAAGTAGGAACTAGGATTATGAGGGATTTGGAGGAGGGATAGCTACGCAAGGAAACCCATTTGAGGTAATACTGACACATATCTTTATGCGTGAGTTAAATTAAGATTTAAGATATAAATCCATAAAATCCTAGAAGGTTTATGAATTACAGGCTGTTTATACTAATCGGCGAACTCGAGACGAACTTGAGAAAACTCATCGTAAGACAACTCCATCGATTCATGTGAAATAATCATGTGTTAAATTAAGAATAATATATTTTTTTAGGGTTTGCTATGATTTCTTTGATATGTAAATACTTTTAGAATTTTTACATATTAATAATACCTGTAGACGATTATGTAAATGCTAGTTGGTACTGACTATGACTATTATTATGATTTTTTTATGATATTAATGTATGAAGATATTATGAACTATTTGCTTGCAGGTACTCTTATCATGTTAATTATGCATATGATTATGCGTTACCTATGATTTCTTATTACATGAATTATGATTAAATGAATGTCACAAGTAATGTAATAGGTAGATTTTTATATGAATGCTTATAACAACAAATGATAGGGAACAATGAGATTTCCGACTTCTAACATTTAGATGGAGAGGAAGCACTGAGAATCGTTGGTATAAGATGTAGACAGAAAGTAGAGAATCGTTGGTACCAGGAGGGATATTGATAACTGCTATGTTGGGAGGGGCTTAACTTTTATCAATAATTAATGTAGCATTCAAGCTGAGTGACGACTCAATGTTATGGCATGACATGAGAATAATTGAGATCCATACAAATGATATTCCTATGATTAGATTGATGACTCTTATGAATATATTAATGATTATATACAAATTGGTGAAATATATATGTTTTATATAGCTATCATGATTCTTTACATGTATTAAATTGGTGAAATATATATGTTTTATACAGCTATCATGATTCTTTGCATTACATGTCTTTTTTAATATCTTTTATAAGATTATAATATGTTGTGACATGTGTTATGGACATGTACCTGAACTACATATGATCATACACGTTTCTTTTCCAGTTCTACAATTTTTTATTTAACTTTAATTATTTCGCAGAGTTTGTTGTAGATCGCTTTTTTTGTTAACTTTCAGGAAGGGTAAGGAGCATCTGGGCAAGCAGACAGGTGTGACGTGTATTTTGCATTATGTATTTTTAGAGGCTGTGTATACTTTTGGATACGTACTTTTATTATTTTAGATCTAGCAGCTTTGTATAGTTTTGGTGATATTATTTTTCCACGCTTCTAATTATGTGTGAATTTGAATGAATTATGAATGAAATGTTTTAAGTGTGTTTGCGGCAATTCAATTAGATTAGAATCATTATCCACTTAGTCCTAATTATGCAAGTCAGGATGAGTGCTGGCTAAATTTTAATCTGTCTGATTCTTCCGCATCTGTAGCACTGCGGTTGACCCTAAATTCTTATAAGTTGGGGTGTGACGCCAAACTTATAGAATCTTTGAGTTTATTCAAGTCTAGAGCAAAACTCAAATTTGTTCTGACTGGCTTCATGTGACAGTTTTTGTAATAGAGTTCCTATTTATCTTTTTTTGTAAAATTTCCATGATTCTCGAATAATATGGCATGTTATTTGCATCTTAGATGAGTGAATTCTATACTGAATAAGGTTGATTGCCTTTTCTATCTTTTTGAAACTTAACATAATCCAATTAGTATAATCCATCTGGTTGAAAAAGAAATAAAAAATATATATTCGATGCAATATTTATAAGCAGAATTTTGAAGAGAGAGAAAAGTTAGGGTGTTTTACTAGATATATGAGTATCTGTTCATATGTATATCTCGTAGAATGGTTCAGAATTCAAGTTTATGTAATGAAAAATGCTAGCGGTTTATGTTATTAGATATTTAATTTTTGGAATTTTTTGTTACGATTTTTTTTCCTTACCACTACATTTTGCTTGTCTCTAATTTCAGCTTTTTTTATTATTTTACTGTGATGTGTTCAAGATATTTAATAATGTATGGTTTAATCAATTTGCTTGTTCAGGTGACATTGCCAGAGGGGAAAGACAGAGATCGAAGGAATGATTTACTCATCATTCGTGATGGTGGAACGTCCTTCAAAATAATTGATAAGGTTGCTGAAATTTTCTGTCTTATCTATATAATTATTTTTCCTTGCAACACTCATAGAAACACACACAGACACACACATATGTACATATACATGCATGTTTGTATCTATCTGTGTGTGTGTGTGTGTGTGTGTGTGTTTGTGAGATATTGATTAATTGATAAATGCAGAATAAAAGGGATGATGCCACAACAGTAATAGAAAGGGAAGAGTGGATCGAGTCAAGGCGGGCGATGGAAAAACATTTAAGCAAACTTCGGGACTTCCATATTTCAAATTGGTTTTAAAGACCTAGCAATTCTGATGAGGGTGCAATGGCAGATTAGTATATTGAATCAGTGTAAATGACTTAAATGGATTTGATTTATATTCAAAAGCTTATCTCTATGATTATTATCCATTCTTTGCCAGGCAATGCATGTTGGTTTTAGGGAATAGGTAGTAAAATCTTTAACATGGATATTTGATGTGTTGTAATCACTCAATTAGCATGTCTACCTTTCATATAATGCTATGTTATTGGTGCTGTGTGAGCAAATACTGAGGAAGTATCTGGTTTTGTTTGGTGTTGTTTTGCTGTACAATGTGTTGTTCAATGAGGAATACAGGCACTCGTTATTTGTATAGAGTGAAATAAGTTGGTTTTTGGGTGCTTGTGATTGTTAGGTTATGGGGAGATGCATATGGAGTGTCTATTTATTGAGCGTAACACCTCGGCATGGACAATCACTTATTTTATTTATTTATTTTTCTTTTTACTCAGTGAGTGGTTATTTATTTAATATTTGACATACAATAGTTTCTTTCTTTCTTTTTTTTTTTTATTCTTTTTCAAACACATCACAATCATTGCGTTATAATTTCTTTAGCTTAAAAGTAGTTTATCAAATTTTATTAAATAATGAGGCATACTTCTCAAGTTGTAAAGCCATTTTTAATAGATGGTATTACATGATCCAAAATTTGAAAGTGGAGTTTACATTTTATGATTTGTTGATCATATCTTATGCCTCCAATCAAATTGTTTCCACTGTAGGAGTCCTTATGGGCTTATAATTATTGGTGATATTTGTTTAATCTGAATTTTGTGTGAAAAAAATGATGGAATTCTACTTGTAAGATTCATGAGTCATGCAAAGTGTGGATTAAAGGAGAAGAAAAAACAAGAAAAATTCAAGAAATTTAGAGAGAGAAGCCATAGAATTTCATTATATTACACCAAATGCTAGTTTTAGTATTTAAGACTTCGTGTTTTGGGTCTTAACCATAAACCCCCTAACCCCTTATTTATAGCTTCCATTTGAAGATTTAAGTTCTATAGAAAAATTGTAAGAAAATATTACAAAGCATGCCAATTTTATTGTAGAGAAATTGTAAGAAAATATTACAAAGCATGCCAATTTTTTTGTAGAGTATAATCAAATATAAGGGAATGAGTGATTATTCCTTGGCAAAAATTATACCAGACAAGCGTTACTAAAATCTTGGCATGAAGTCACTATGGTTTAATGGTGTGATTGGGGGAGCTTTCTGAGCACTTTTTGTTTTGAAAAATAGTTCTTGGGCGTTTGGGAAAATGCTTTTCAATTAGTTTTACTCGAAGCCCATTTTTGGATTGGTTAAAGGTCAAATGATAGCATTGGTTTTTGTTTCACTATTCTAATTGCAGTTCGGGTACAAAAAGACTCTCCTACCCCTAATCAATTCAACGAATGCCATGGTTTATCCTTGATAATACCCTCCCCCTTCTCTCTCCATCGGCTTTGTTGTTGGAGTTATGACAAATTTGTGATCCCCTTCTCTCTCCCCTCGATTCAGCTTCGTTATTGTTGCCTCTCGTCACCTCTCTCTTTGTACGTGCTAACCCTTAACTCCTTTCTCGGTTGCTCTTTGTGGTGGTGATTTTTTTGCTTATCGTGTTACCTATATGATGTTGTTGTGTAGCCTCTCGATTTTTCTCTTTGGTGATAGTTTGGTGCTTGTCGTTTGAACTGTGAAAGTGGTTGTGCTGCTGGGCATTCCCGGTTGTCATTTATGGTTGTGGTTTCTTACTTTTCACTTTACTTATGTGATTTGCCTATTTTGTTTCTCGGTCTTCCTATCTGCGGGTGGTTTGGTGCTTGTTGTTTGAACTTGTAAGTGGTGGTGTCGATGAGGCTTCCCGGTTGTCTTGTATGGTGGTGGTTTGTTGTTTTTCA